CGAAAGTGTGCAGCAACCGAGATGGTAAGTGGGCTTTCGTTTGTTTGTATATTTTGTTTGTTGTTGTTTTGTGTCTGTAACGTCTTGTAGGTGGTATTGTAAGTAGTGTTCGTCTTGTTTTGTAAAGTAGTGTTCTTCGTGTTGCAATTAAAAAAAAAAAAAAAAAAAAAAAAAAAAGAAAAAAAAAGTAAACTTACTTAAATTTTCCCAGGATGTCCTTTGAGAAATTTAAGCATTCATTCGCTACCTGTACTGTGCATATAGTAATTATATGTTAACTCTTGGGGTTTAGAAAAAATGCATTTTAATCTGCCTCTAACATTAAGAATAAAGTGCCAACCAAGACAGACAGCAGAAGCTGTAGCAGTACTAGTAAGCCAGAATGTAGTGGGGCAGACAGATGAGACAACAGCAGGCCAAACAAGTCACACAATTGGTAATGCAACCAACATTTCCACAATGAGGTACCCAGATGAAGCCCCAGGAGGACAAACAGTGGCAGATGCACCGGGACACACTCTCAATGTAGAGGCTCTGTGTCAAGAAAGAGGTGTTGCTTTGGTTGGAGAAACAAACCAAAACATGATTGAAGATAATACTTTGTTTAAATTAGATTTTTAGCTTTTCTTTGTGTTTCCCCAGCCTTTAAATACATGGGTGGGATGTTCGCTTTTAGGTTTGACGCTCATCTAAATTGTTTCATTTTATATCACCATCTTTGTTTCAGTTACCCTTTAAATTAGGTTATCATTTGTGAGATTGGTTTGTGGTAAGAAAGAAATAATGCATATAAGTAAGAAGAAAATTACAAGAAATAAACAAAAGTCAACATCAAGTTTTTCTAAAGGAAGTGTGCCATCACGCTGTCAGTCACTCTAGAATGCAGACTTCTATGGTGAGTAATAGTATTGTGTAACATGTGATGTTTGCCTGGTAAGATACAGTGGTCCATAAAAGTTAGTTCAACATTGGTTTTCGTTTTTGGTGTTGCTGATGTCTCTTTGTTTGTGTTTGTAACAATAAATCATTTCATTTATTGCTTTGAAGTTAGCTTTCTATAGGACAATTCAGGGCCAAGTTGTTAAAATCAAGGTTAATGGTCATCTGGGTTAAGTATTAAGGCAGCCTCGAGGTTATGGTCACACTTAACCCAGGATAAGTGTTAACCTTGTTTTGAACAACTCTGCCAAAGACTTATTGCAAGTAGTCTGTTGTGAGGATAGTTCTAAATGTACAGCCTGTGGAGGATTTTTTCTCCCCTCCATAACCCCTTCCCACTCCTTGTCGAAAGAATGTATGTCTTTCGTTCAAGTCATGCTTTTAACTGGAGAATGTGTAACATTCACATTTTCAATGCCCTTATCCCATCTAGCCTGTGATGGAATTCCAAATTCTTGTATTCCATCCATGAGGTATCGCAAAAACATACCTGCTAGGTTGTTGGTGAAACACTTTATGTAAACTATTTGCTCTACTATACCCATCAATGCAGCCATGCAAAACAAACCTCCAGTGGATTAACTTGTGATTTGAGTCAATGTGCCACAGGTGGTTTGGCTTTTTAACATTATACAGACATTGGTGAATTGCATACCTGCACCTTAAGGGGTGGTTTATAGGATTAATTCTTTGTAATGCTTCCTGAATTTTCCACCTCTAACCATAAATGCCACATGCCCTCAAAGCTCCTTGTATGTATATTTCACCAGAGAAAGGTGTTATTTGTAAGATATCTCTTACATTCCAATCAAGTTCCTGTTCATTAACCTAACTATAATCACGAGTAACAAATTCTATTCTTCTTCTGGACAGAGTCCTGGCACAAACACCTAAACACTTTGCAATAGCTGTCCTCTGCATACCAGTGCTGCCAAGTACATCAATTTGTTCTGCTGTAATGTATTTTGGTCTTCCTAATGAACTTCTTTTGCAGGAAGGTACAAAACTCAGCACTCACTTGGCAAGTGGCAAGTGGCAATCTTACTTCTGGTGTGGTTTAGTAGCTCCCGTAAGGAGTGTGAAAGGTCATCAAATCACCACTTTTATATCTAAAAAGCACTGGACATTGGCAGAAACCAAAGAAAATGCTGCAATCATTTAAACAAAGCCTTCTGAGCAATCATGTATATATTCCACATTTCCGAGAGCTGTGCATTGAGCTATACGGCAAATACAATCCTGTACAGACAACAGAAATGTCTCCAAGTCCTCCACATTACCGTCAGCAACCTGAAGAATGACAACAATGTATAAAAAAGCTATGTAACCAACAAATCTGCAGGCCACCATCTTGTTTGACCATTTTGGCAGCAAATGGCAGGGCATGTTGGGTATTCTTGAGTTAAAGAAAAAATTTGCACTCGGCAAAAAATCTTGAGTCCGGGAAGAAATTCTTGACAAATTGACAGAATTTGACTCAAAGAAATAATTCTCCACTTGGCAAAAATACTCTCGACTAGAGGTAAAAATTCCCATCCTGATTACAAAATTTTCAACTCCATGAAAATATTCTCCTCTTTGGAAAAAATATTCTCAACTGGAAAAAATCTTGACTCAAAAAAATTCTTGACTTGAAAAAGAAGTACCAACCACTTTGGTCCATTATGGCTCGCCAAATTTTACTTAATCGATCTAATTAGTACTTTATCATCCTTTATCTTCTAGGAACTGAGATACCAAGGACCCAGCACCAACTGCTTTCATTGAAGAATATCTACTAGTCATTTTTACCCTTACTCAAAAAGCAACCCAAAGAGAAAAAGACAAAAGTTATTGATAGCCAAGAATATTTGTACAATGTGAAGTCAAAATGGACTTATGCTACATCTTGGCAGTGTTCAGTCTGCACTGAAGGAAACTGCTGCAGACCTGCAGGCCACCAAGATTGTCATGGCTGTAAAGGCAAAAACTTAAGAGGATAAATTCAAGCCTGCTTCAGCCGCAGTGGAAGAGTTAAAACACACACAAAAAAAATTTTTCTCCTTTAAATAATAATTACTGCAATTTTTACTATCATGCAAACTCTGAGACCTAAGTACACAACTGGTTTCACTTCATTAGCTTCCTTCAATCAGAATCAATTGTTAAAATTGCAGTAATATAGTACCAGATTCCTAAATTTTCCTTTCGTAATTATCATCCCCTTTATTTTTTAGGTTCTTCTAAGTGAACTAACAGAAAGCCCCTTGTGCAGCTCTTCCTGCTTCTGCTTCCACACAGCCAGCAGGGTTCAACAGAGCAAGAGGCTGCACGTCCAACTGACTTCGACTTAGAGATCCTCCATGATGCCATTCCATGAATTTTGGAACTGGGCTGTGGAAAAAGAGGCTTCCCTCATCCCTTATTAAGGTCTCCACCTGTTAGCAGGGGTGGAGACACTTGCATGTAGAAGAGGTAAGATACGTAAAGAGTATAAGAGCAAAGTGAAGGACTTAAGCCACCCTCTTCTATCAACACGCCTAGATGATACCTGTCCCTACACCCTAAGGCACAAATCAGACCAGCTGTACTTTTACAAAAACGTTACTACCTGTAGAATGAAGTACACCAAAGACTTTTTCACTTTGAAATATTTA